CAATTAGATCAAACTTTTATTGAATTCATTCAATTTCAGTTCTTCTGTGTATATGTTCTTTAGTTCTTCTCGGTGTATACATTGTAAAAGACCTGGCAAAACAACTTAAGTATGATATTTTTACATGGAACAACAGGTTATTAAATATATGCTTCTTAATGATTTCTTCCTAATTTCCAACATTTACTTTTATTGTAGCTTCTAACATAGAAATTGCTGACAAATCTGGCCCCTCTGTTCTTCAGGTGAAGTGCATACTTCTTTATCACTGCAAAGAACAGCATGTGCCACTGACCTCATTAATAAACCTTTTTTATAAACCTGTAAACACCTTTGTACCTTTTACTAAAAGAAGGGATTTTACTACTATTTAAAAGAAATTGGATTATATCCACAAAAAGTTTCACAGCAACTACGTAGTTTCCTCTGACCTGTTCTTCTGTGTTTCTTGATTCTATCAGTGTGTCTACAGTACATCTAATTTCATAATTTGTATCTCCCCATAGTACATTTTCTTGAATTTCTGTAGTTTTCTCAAAAGATTTTCTGGCTTGCAACCAAAACCCCAAAAAGTTTATATATTGTCATTTTCTATACCTTGACTAACAAAAATTACGTTTTGCACAATAAAAATACCTTTCAGAAGCTCAATTCACTGTGGTTGCCATGTAGTTTAAATTTAGTGATACCTTTCTTTTCCAAAACCATTTATTATTACTGTTGGAATACAACTGAAAAGATTGCAGAAAAACTATACTTTGTTGCTGTATTATCTCTAAACCAACACTCCTCTGCCTTAACTCAAGCAATATAAAACTGCAAGGATTAATTGTTCCAGTAATGTCCTGCTCTTCTCTTGATTTAATTTTTCATGCAGATCTGTCAATTTAAAATTTAATTGCTCTGGACCCAGCTCAGCTTAATAAGTTGGGTGTCTGGTTTTTTAACTTCCTTCTGATTAGCCCTGCTTTGCTTTAAGACATAATTGATTGCTGTTAAGTCAACAGTGATTATTAATTTAAATGTAGATACTCATGCAATTTGGATTACATATAAAATTAAACACATGAATAAGTTAGAGCCTTGTGCATTAAAATGCATTGGAATCCTTCCATTGTTAGAAGAAATATACATACTCTTCAGTCTTTGATTTTGTTTTCCTTTTTTAGCATTGATAAGGGATTTAAGGATTTTTTTCTAAACGCAATACAATGAAGTGGCATACTGTACAACAGATTAGTGGAAATACTGTATATAAAAGAGGTTGTAATCCATTTTACCCTTTTTTAGGAATGGTAAGTTTCTGCTGATACTAGTTCAGAGGTCCACAATCCTAGTCCTAGTTATTTATATGATAGTATTATATAAAACAAAACTAATTGGAACTATAATTATAACATAATCCGAGTTATTTATATAATTACAGCATGACAATAAGTTTCTAGTCCAGCTGGGTTCTAAATTATCTGATTATTGATTAATTGGATCAATTTAGCAACATCTTATAGCTTTTTGTGTGCTATGCTTTGGAGTGACCTGGAAAACACACTGATTCTCTTGGACCGTATTTAGGGACCAGTGTGCTGTAAGACTAACAAAGAGCACATCAGAGAAAAATGCATCACAGAAAATATGTGCCAGAAGCAATAGAAAATATATTTCCTAGGTTTCAAATTGCAATGAATGAAATTATGAAGTAATACTGCTTATGAAGTTGTACTATGCACTAGTTAGACCCTAATAAAATATATACAAATGTGGTATATATGTATGTTATTTATACAATGATATGTGCACTACTTAATAAAAAAGTAAAAAGGTGACTAGATGCTTTAGAGAATGGATTCAATTCCAAAGAACCAATTTCCACTTTGTAGTCCATACACGTATGCTTTGTGGTGTAACATAATTCTTAAAAAAACTGGTTTTCACAAAAGCACATTTAGGTTGATTGGTTTCTTTTTACATTTTTTCTACAACTCATTCATTTTTAATTAATTAAGACCTTGGTAATTGCCCTTCAATTATTATAATGTAAATGGTGGACCAGTAGGTAACATTTTTCCATTTTAGCCAGAATCACAACACCTACTTCCACAGTATGGTGACAGTGGACACTGTACTGTAATAGGATTTGTCCTTTGATGAGACGCTAAACCAAGGTACAAACCATTAATGATTCAATTATTTCATTAGAACAGGGATGTTACTTCCATTTCCTTTCCAAAAATCTGCTTTAGGGTTGCTCAGTCTGGCCAACCTGATTTTCTCCGTTCATTCAATTAATAAATTCAGTGACATAATTCCTCACTTCTCCACCTGATTTGCTGCATAGTATGGTTGCCGGTGCAAAAAGACTGTCACACATTACCCAGCTCTTCAGTGGTGGTTTCCGATCCAAGATCCTCTGGGATCATTTGGAATGAAAAACTTTACATAAATGCAAGGAATTTGTCTTATTATTCTTAAAACGAATTCAAGAACTAAATCAAGTTGATTGATCTTTATTGAGTGCATTTTTAGTACAATATTTCTCAGAAAGTTACAGTTACAAACTCTGACATACTCATCACAATTAACAATTCAGAATTATACAATGAAACAAGAAAACATCCAGTCCCTTCATTCTCTATGTACAGTGAGTTGCCTTTGTCATGCTGGCACAGCCCTGGCTGACAAACCCTACAGACAGGTTGGACATGAAGTGCTAAATGTCACCTCAGCAGGGTGTCAAGTCATCTTCCTCCTACAGCGAGTTTGGAGACTGGCACTGGCAGGATCCGTGTCCTTGCAGGCTGCACTGGAGTCATATATTTCCCACAGCTGCTCTGAAAGTTTACAGAGGAAAGAAAAAAAAGTTAAATTCCGTTTAAATATCTGAGCATTTAATTAAACAAAAAGCTTGGACATTAAGTGTTTACCTGAGTTACTACATTAATTAGGATAAATGATCTAGCAGCTCCCTTGAATTACATTTATCAGTGGGTAATAAACAACACCTTTCAACTATGCAGAAATCACATGTTGCAGCTTTCATGTTGGATGTTCCTGGTTCAGTACCCACTCTATACAAACCAAAATGCCAAAACAGTTCCTCTGTACAATGACAGCTCAGTGCAATAATTCTGACCCCTGATGTTAAGAAATGAACATTTTAATTCTGTACATTAAAGACCATAATAAGTAATTGAAGACCGGATATATTAATAGGTATTAGAGCCATTGTACAAGACTTCTAAAGGACAGTTCCTACACCATCTACAAACCTTCTTGGTCATCTGGTCTGTGCTAATTTATTTCAAAACACCCACAGTGCATTATCTTCAAGTGATGACTTGTCATATGGGAATCCTACCTTTTGTTTCATTAGTCTATAACATTTTATTTTATGCTTTCGTGTATTATCTCTACAAACATTACTCAAAATACACCTTTTGTGAATGAAAACCAGTAAGAAGTAAGAACAAAATTAAGTTTCACACTAGTTTATTTAGCAATAAATAACCTGAAGACCTCCCAGTACAGACACACACAAAAAAAAACCCTATCTGGAACCTCTAGTTCTTCATATTTCTCTGTCTCTCAGAAAGAAATGGGAAAGTTTGCTCTAAAGAAACACAAACTTTTCATACTGCTTAACACAAAAGGACAGAAAGAAGCCATTGAGGGTGGCAGATTTACAAACCCATCAGGATTTCCAAAAAGGCATTTCATTTAGAGGCTGTCACCAGTCACCTTAGCTGGCACTTGCACGGGCATGTCATGAGTCAGGAGGAGAGGGCGGAGGAAGGTTAATTGAAACAGAGAACAGTTTGAAAGTGCCAGCGTGACAGATAGATCACAAGCTATCTGCTACACCTACCATTTTGTCTTTGTTAAAACTGCTGCCGTCAGTTGAGGGGAAGAAGGTGTCGGGGGGAAGAAGGGGACCTCAGCATGGAGAAATGCCTGTGAAAGACAAGCAAGCATTAGCATTAGAAAGTCACCAAATCATCCATCACAAAGAGGATTAGCACTGATTAACAGTCTTCTTGAGAGAGCGGGCTTGGGGGGTGGGGGGGGACTGTCTCGTGGCAAAGTGACTTGAGCATTTTTTTATAGGTACAGTATGCAAACTCCAGTATGGCTGTAAGTAACTAGAGTACCATTTACAGAATCTCTCGCCCTAGGCTGTTGTGATGGGACGTTAGTCTTCGAAATATGACCGCATCGGGCATGAACATGCCTCATCTGAATGATTTACAGAGGCTTTACTCAACTAAGACAAGTAAGTGGGGTCAGTCTCACCAGACCACAGTTATGGGACACTGCAGAAGTATACTTGTACCTCTGAGTATTATGCAGGTATTTACACATGGCCAAAAAGCCAGTAAATCATCTTCTACAACATAAATGCTAATAAAATAAATATCTTGCCAACAGAGCTGTCTGGCCACATTATCAGATGACATGGATTTAATTAATCTTCAGTCTTTGCATTTCATCCTCTGGAAAAAGAAACTAAACAAACCACATATTTGTAAAGCATTTTTTCTATATTTTTTAAAAAGCTTTTCAAAAATATGCTACCTCTCAGGATCATATTAAACAAAAACATTTACTTAATTTGCACAAGGTTATTGCTTAGTTTTAAGATAATTTAGCGTTAAGTCTAATGTCACTGGAGTTACATTGATGATTTCTTAGGTTTTGCAAGCGACCTTTGGCAGAATTCGCTTATTGTGAGATAGATATGGAACAATGCTCCAGAGGTCTTGCCTTTACAGCTGCCTGTGACAGAAAAGTCCTTTAAGTGTTACCTACAACAGACTAGACTTGCTTTCATTAGTATTTTATTAGAAAAGTGATATTTGCCAAGATTCATGCCAAACTATTTAATAAACATCCCTGCTAAGTGATAAACAGCACTCAAACATCTTTGAAAAGTTTACTACAATAAATTATTGAAAGATTACCTGAATACGTTTTGAATTACCATGATAGAAAATGCTGTCCTATTGTTGTAGGATAAAGGTTCAAAGGAGCAGAGAAGTGATTTAGCATCTCTTACAAATGTATCTATTTATCAGACTGTGGTGAGGTTTGTGACAATAACCCTACAGTTAACAAGTACAGAAAGGCACTGGAATGTAAACTTTATTACTGGGATCCGAGGAGAGATGAGATTTGTTGAACACTTTGCAACTAAATAACACTGATGTTTGTGACTTGGGAAATGTAAGACTTGCTAGTGTCGTCTTGCTACTTTAGCGAGGGGTGTTCAGTGTGGAGGCGGAGCCTTGGACAAAGGGCGACGCGTTGCCTGGCGGGTCACAGCTGGGAAGCCTTAGCCTAATGAAGAGCAGCTGTTCAGGCCGTATATAACCACACTGGACACCCTACCCTATCCTCCCCGACGGGTTGAGTAGGGTCCCATTCTAGAACAGGAGCTACGCTACGCTACGCTACACGGGCAGTTCTGGAGGGTTGTCGTACTGCAATGTGAGGTCGACCCTTTTTTTTCCGTCTGTCCCGCCGTGTGGTTTCACCTGTGCAGGCTGCTCCTTTTTCTATGGAAGCCCGTTTCCGCAAGAGAGTAAAAAAAAAGAAACGCGCTATGGTATCTCAGAATTGCCATGATAGTCCTTTTGTTATTGTAACTTATTCGGGTTCTAGGGCTTGTGCACTCGCCGCTCCCACCCTGCTTTGTGCCTCATTGGCTCGAACCCAGGTCTTGCCAGCTGAGCTCTTCAGCCGCGGCGGCCAGCATCCCTGTTAATTTATGCGCAGGGGAGGGCGGTGCCGTCACCGCACTGCAACCAGATCGTACAACCTGTATGTCGGCCGGTCCGTTACACTGTATTCATGAATCGTACCGGATCATAGGATCTATAGGCCTGAGGACTTGTCCTGTACAGTGTCCTGATAAAATCAAATTAATTACACTGATTTTTATGGAATCCCATTTCCGCCAGGGAGGCTTCCATAGTACCCGGATGGAATAGTGGACGGTGGGCTTTTAAAAAAGTTATTAAACACCAAAACTACAAAAACGGAGACAGAATATGAAAAAAAAGTACAGAAAGACACTTTACATCCAGAGGGATTCAGTTATAAAAGTTGAAACTTATACTTTTTACATATTCCCATTGTATGTCCTTTTTTACTTAAAAATAAGGTCTTTAGCTCAGCTGGCAAGACCTGGGTTCGAGCCAATGAGGCACAAAGCAGGGTGGGAGCGGCGAGTGCACAAGCCCTAGAACCTGAATCCGTTACAACAACAAAAGGACAGACAATGAAATGTGGGCTGTTTTTAAGTCGTAATTCTGAGATACTAAGTCGCAATTGGAAGATACTGTACCACAGCGCGTTTTGTTTACTCCCTGGCGGAAACGGGCTTCCATATTTTTCACCAGTTTTATTCTTATTTATTTTGGCCTTGCACACCCTACCTGCACCCAGACTGGACCCCTCTAGATACAGTAGATAATAGTGCAGTCTGGTCACCGCTGCCAAACGGGGTTATTTTTCCAGGCTGGACCCCGTTAGATAGGATAAGTCCAGCCCGGGCGCCGCTCAGCCCTAACGGAACAGCGCAGCTACCCATAAGAGCGCAACTTTGTATGTTTCCATTTTGTTTTTTCTTCCAGTTTTCGCTAATCTCACACCGGTTCCGCCTCCTCCCACTCACACGGGGCGTTGCCAAGTTACCGGTGTTCGCCGCGGATCCTCCCACTAGCGCACTGCTACACTAGGAAGGCTAAAAAGTCTCTGATGCTTCAGGAGAATGAAACGGCAATTTAAGATATTTTCTGGATTCTCTCTACCTATATTTGATGGAGTAGGCTAACATACATTAATGCATACTGTATACAGTACTGTTATTTTCCAAATTCTTAGTAGTGAAATTTATAAAAGCAAGACTTTTAATAAAATATATATTCACCCAAATCAATAGTCCACATTGGGCAGACAAAGGCCACCACAATTCTGAAGACCATGGCTTCACCTCTGTGCACTAAGAAGGCATAATACTAAATGCTAGGTTTTAATACTTGACACATTAGGTGCTTCTTTAATTCATCAACACACTGAAAACAGAATCTATCAGCCTATAGTGAGTACGAGATTGGACTGATAACAGGTTCAAGTCCCTGCAGCACACAATCGCACATGTTGCACCTGTGAGTGAGGTGCTTCACCCCAAGGGCTGCGGTCCAACCAACTCTACATGTGGGAACCAGCATTATTATGGGATAAGTCCCTGCACCAGACCAGTGTATCTGGAGGGGAAGTCACATGCTCGCTGGTCTGCTGAACGCTAAAGAAACCAGGCTCTGCTCTTTTCCCATGAGCTGCTGTGGCCCTGATTGAGACTTTACCTTTCGTTTTTTAAGTGGAAATTGAAGCTCGCATTTTCATACGTGACTTCTCCAGGCAATACACTCGGGGAGCCTTTATCCTGGCAGCAACAGCGATATCGATTGACCTGTTTGATGAAATGGATGGATGAGAAGATGGGGAAAGCCAGGTCCCTCGTGGCCTTGGTAAGTAAAGGTAACCATTGTGGTAAAAGGCAATCTACTGGCAAATGTGACTTTGCTGCCCATATACTGCATTCTAGACTTTTTTCAAGGATAAAAATAATTACTACAAATATCTGTGTAAATAAACTTCAGTTTTTAAGCCATATGCAATATGTACTGATTCTGTGTTCACGTATTATACTGCAGGAGATAAAATCCTGTGAACACGGAAATTGGCTTCCTGATGGTCTTGCTCTCGGTAAGGTGTTGGTAGATGCAGGTTTTGACCTTTCAGTTAATAGCAATGCACCTTTTAGTTAACAAACTAAACACTTGACGGCAATTACTTCTAATATGTACAGCTATATACGGTTAAATATGTAAAATAGTGAATTAGGAGATAAAAACAAAATTTGTTTCAAAATAGTTTGAAAATATCCTTAGAATGTTTAGAAAAATGAATTATGAAAATTAATTATCTTTGAAAGCACATTTCAAAAGTATGAGCATTAAGAAGGTAAATGTGGGCTTGGCTTTTTTACGTTTTTCTTAGAAATATTGTATAAATGAATCCCTCTAAGATTGCATAAATAGCAAATGATGTGTAAATTATGTAAATTACTGAAAGAGCTAGAATTTATATAATCTTAATTTAAATATACACTGTATGGTAATATATGATTAATTTAGTTTTATCATCATCAGGCAATTATCCTTAAATATAATGTGGAAACAATAGGAATAGATTGGAATGTTTTATACGTCTTTTAAAATGAAGAATGTTATCAACCTTTTGTTTTTGAAAATGATTTGGCATATTTCCCCTTCAGGTAATAAGTTGTTGTAAACCTATGCTTATATATATTTTAAAGACTTTTACACAAAAATTGTTTGTAATGCATAATGTTTATTTATTATGTCAGTTAAATTAGTAAATTCTAAATAATATTCACTTGTGCTTATATGACTACATAAACTATTAATGTAAAGAACTTTTTAAAGAAAACAATCTCCATAATATTTGCAAGGACTTCCAGTAGAGAAGTAGTTTATTATCACTTGTACTCATTGAAAATTGTCCATCAATGTTTTTTAATTTTTCCTTTTATTTAATCTGGGGGATTGTTATGTGCAAACATATAGAAGTCCTAAAACCAGAAAGAAATTTAAGAATATATAAAGTGTTTTTGTATTTTTAAAAGTATACCTCTTCAAGACCGTACAAGGTGAACACTGTCCCTTTTATGTTAATGTGAAATACTTTCAGTCAATACATTCAATTGCAGTCATATGATCCTTACATGACACTTTTGTTTTCTCTGCTAATTATGTACATGAGCTTCACTAGGAAAAACTCTTGACCATACCATTGAAGAATAAGAAATCTCAGTAAGGGAATCGACTTTCAGTTTTTGGAATTCACATAAAATGACATGCTGTGTCCAATTTCTGGTTCCTATTACTTTACCTACTGAAGTGAAACCAAACACTGACTCCAAAAAGTCCTGCAACTACTTGGTTACCCTTTTTTTCCCAACATATACTTTGAAAGGTAAAGAGCCCAAACAACATATGCTACTGTTTTACAAATCACAGTCATTTTCTTTAAATTAAGCTCTAAATAAACACCTATAGGGAATGGTTCATCATTTAGTGCTTTTTCATACGTCAATACTTCCTCTCTTGTATAGGTTTCTTACAATAATGCTGTGCACAACATCTCAGTTAACTATATCTTTAAACATAAGTTCTTGGATGTATTTGGAGGCAAATTAAACAATTTGATTAAATTTCTCTGTAAAATAAACTGTATTGCATAAAATGTTTTGAATGACTTGATTTTTAGGGCTTGTTTGCCATTATCTGAATCACATCCAGAGAAAGGCTGCCACCCACCCAAACTCATTAACCTCTGTCTTATTAAAAAAACAGTATCATCTCCAGAAGTAATTAAGTATTCCCATGAGATAATATGTATGATTAGTATGTACAAACTTATTTAATTAAAAAGCTTGCCTCCTACTTTCCCAGTGAAAAGTGAGCAATAAATGATAACTGATAAGCTTTGCAGTCTCTCTGTCAATCGATATTTCCTGGGACACTTTGAACCAAGGCTTGGAGCTCTAGATTGCTTTGTGAGAGGGGAAGTCACTGGTGTTAATTAAAAACCAGGACTGCATTCAGTTAATTATACTGTGAGGCTCAGTGACAGATAAGGGAAGTGTTACATAAAGGAGGAAATTTGCAAAGTCCATCCATGTCACTTGGGTTCCTGCTTCTTTTAAAGAGAAATCAACCTAGCTGACATACAAAGTACAGAATCTTTAAATACCCTTATTTCTATATTTTAATTCTGAACAAACTTTCTAAAAAACAGACGCATCTGTACTGCTGGATTCATTCCTTTAGTTATTTGTTAAAAATGAACCAAATCATTACTGTAACATGACAACAGGTCATATTTTTGACGGCAAAAGACTATAAAATATACTGTACATTACTGGTTGTTCTTTTTGATGTTCTGATTAGATTATAACAATAACTGATTTTCCAGGGTCTAGTAGGAATAGTGCTGAGGTACACTTGTGCTGGTATAATTACAAATCACTGTCTTGATACTTCTCCTAGGACATTTTTTCTGAGCATATTCCCTCTTAAATGTCTTATCTTAGGAGGAGAAAATGGTCATCCAAAAGGATGGGAAGTACCGTCTGTCTATTTTTTCTTCTCCAATTCTCAACATCAGCAGTAACAAGCTTGCAGGTGCGTTTGCTATTTCATCACTCCCAGTGTGTTCTCTGACTGACCAGCACTTCTGTTCTGCATGTGTTTGTTGCTGAAAGGTGTTGGGAAGCTGTCAATCTGCAGCTACTGTACTTCCTTCATTACATTTTATTCCATCGGCTCCGTTTGGCTCCCTGGGGCTGCCAGCACTTTCCCACTTGCTTATTTATTTTAACTTGTACGTACATACACTCTGGGAAGAGACTGTCAATAGCCTGGCTGCAGAGCCAGGTTATTGACAAAGCACTCTTTCCTCATTAAGATTCATGGTTTCTGAGCTTTTCTTTTTCATTAAAATGTGTATTATGTTGACAGTCAGCTTCCTTATACATGGTATGGTAAAAGAAGAGCGGTATGTAGGTGGCATTTAACCTGTAATTGTCAAGTGCTATGTACAAGCTAGACACTTCCAGCCTGGTAAATCAAAATCATAAATCTACTACATGAAGAATAAATGAGGTAAACCTGTCAATGTTCCCCCTTGGAGATTTAATCCATGAATTTTTACATGAGTGAACAACAGAAATGCTTGAAAGTTCTTTTTTTCTTTCTCAGGTAGAGAGATGATCTGTCAATTCAGCTGTCTTGGAATTCACTCATGTGTTACAAGGAACTTATTACACTGTATATGTTGGAGGTTTCAAGGTTTAGAATCAACTAATAAAGCAAATGTTTCTTTATCCATTTAGATTCACAGAATTTAAAAAGTAAACATTTCTGAATTGAAGAATCCACCCTTATTCTAAGCCTGGATAAGACCAAAACTCTGCCCCACATGTCAAATACAAGTTTCGAACACCAATACTTTCCATTGTGTAAGAAGTCTCTGCCAAACACAAAGCCACCATTTAGTGCCACATTTGGAATTTACCATTTGTATTAATGTACAACATTGATTTATTCTAGTGCTGTCATCTTTTGTGAAATCACCATTTTTCAATACTAGTGGGCAGACAATCAGTTAATCACACATTAATGGCTATTTCAGAAACAAGTTCTAAACCCGTTGAGTTTACATAAAAGAAAATAAAGAAAAGTACATTTAGTTTTAATGTCAATTTGAGTATAAGGTATAAGACTGAAAACAAAGAAAGGGAATCACTGTATAAAGAATTTGAGTAGCATTTTAAAATGAGTCCTGACTGACTAACCTGTTTCATAATTAAAAAAATTCCCTTTATACATTGTACACATGTTTTATAATATTCAAAGGAAAAGAAATAAATTTTGAGAAGGTTAAGAGAAAGGTTAATCTTACAAATTTGCACTAGTTATTTCCTGTAATTATCTGATGGATGTTAACCTGAATTAAATAATTAAATTACTATTGAATTAAAAATGGTATGGTCCTGTAGCATTGAATTTGAGTCTTTTGGGCATAAACGCTTCTCTTTCTAATATTATCAAACACTGAATTTCTTTGAGGAAATGTTTGTCTATATAAAACCCATTCCAAAAAGGTCTTATACAGAACTGAAGTAAACAGCTTCTAGAACTCTCCCTACTCATTCACTATCTTATATTTTCTTCTGCTAAAGCCCTCTATTTACCTTCATGTCCTCATGGTGAGGGTCCATTATTGTGGTTATGAAGGGTATCATAAAATTGTGAACTTTCAGTTTAAGTAATTTCCCCTATAAATGGAACCTGGGGTCTGTGACATCCAATAAGATCAGCTATTCAAATACTATACATAATTCTGAAAGGAAAAATACCACATGCGTATACACATCATTCACAAAGACCTGTAAATATAACAGTTAGGGACTGCACATTCAATACATCATAATTGGAAATACAGGGTATGTACATTTTAATTTTTTCTTTCATACATTCTCTTTGATTTCTTATTACAGATGTAGTGACAAGTAAATCTTTCCATCTATTCACTTGCAAAGCTTTCCCTCTAGTTAAATAAGAGACTTGCTTTCATTCATGTCTATCTTCTTTATAGCTTCAGTTAGCAGTTATTATAATAACATTAGAAAGATTACAAGCAAGAGCAGACTGACCTGTAGCACATCTGACCTGTTTGGCAGTTTTTAGCGAACTGATCTGATATTGGCTTCAACAAAATATCTGGACAGCTTGTTCCATACTCCCACAATCCTAGATGATTATTAGCTCACTTAGCTTTTAAGGTCTTTAGTTTTTTGTGTATGCAAGGTTTGTTCCTTCTTATTTACTACTTCATAACTTACTATCAAAAAAGACTGCAAAGAGTCCAGGGTCGAAAAATACGCACCAAACGACGATATTAAGAGACACAGTAAATCTGAAAGACATAACTTATGACTGTGAAAGAATAAATTACTTCAGTGCCAATGATTAAGGGTAGCCTAGGACTTAAGCCGACTAACCTACTGTATGTAGCAGCAAACAGAAAAGAGAGGCCTTTAAACACCCAAAATAAATCTTAATCATCAGTCCTTGAGGAGAACAGAAAGAAACAAGCTGGGAAAACAAACACATGCTATAATACAAAGAAAGACCCATATCGAAACATTGCTACCATCCTGAAGTTTGATGTTTCTTTGTGTTTTGCTGAAGGAAGTGCTTCTGTAGTTAAGCCTTACCATGTTAGGCCAACCATTGCTTCATGTGTTGTGCATCATCCCTCATACACATCAGAGAGATCAACAAAAGGTACGTACCAGAGTGTTTAAGCTGCCAAGCTGGGACAGTCTATTTAGAAATGCACAATGATCCAAATGTTCCAACTCGAAGTAGGAAATCAGAAAAAAATAACGTCTCCATTTCCCTTATAATGCTCACCAGCAAACCTCAGCATGGCATGGATAGCTCACGTTAAACAATTCAATATGTCTGTAGAGCTAGAATCACTTTCCATAGGCCAGTTAACTGACACTGAACATTTATATATGGTATTTTTTTACAGTGTTGGTCAAGACATTGTCTGTTTTCCGTTGTTGTCTTATCTTCCATATTTGAAGCCCCAACCAGCAACACATGTATAGGTTTTGTCGACACAGTGCCTCTTAAAAAAGGACAGAGGTCCTGAAAGTCAGTTACAATCCAGTTAACACACACGTAATTGCCAAAAATGCAAGCAGAAAAAGTACATATGCTTATAATGTATCACCTTCAATATGAAGATTTTTATTTCTTAAAATTCATTCAATTCTCTGATGGATTTAAAATCCGGGAGCAACTGTTAGGTCAGTCCTTTGGCAATGACATCCACCTGGACATCATCAGGTAGCACAGTTGTTTCTTGTTAGAAAGCATCACGGCATTCATGGAGAGAAAAAAAAAATACATTGCAGTTTGTACTCCAACTTTTCCAAGTGAGAAACATACAGACTCAAAGAAAGAAGAAAACCCAAAGTTAAAATTCATTAAGCAGAAATCCTAATTGACGATATTCCACAGTCTGTGCATTTTGTGTAAGTCTATTTTGAATACTTTGTTTCGTTATAATTTTCAAGCAAAATACAGGAGTCACTGGGGTGACTATCCATTGTGATCCTTGCATGAAATGGCGAAAAATAATGGACATTTGTTTAGCAGTTGAATTGATTTGCACCATAAATGATGTTAAATTAATATGATCGTTTCAACCCAGTTATATCTTGTCATGTCCAAAGCACTGAGAGGGCTTAAGGATCTGTCCCATGGAGCATCCTGTTGTCATGCCATAGACGTCGATGACTGGTTCATCTGTACGCTTATGGACTGGATGCTGTTGAGAATCTTCTTCTGATGCCCAGCTAAAGTTACCCCTATCCTAAGGAGGTCTCTGAAATGTTTAAAAGAGAAAGATGGAAAAACATTAGATATGAAATTTAAAGTAATAGTGATGATTTGAACTTAGGAATGTGCACAGAAAATAAGCATAAAAAAATTTGTGTTAAGACCTGTTCATGAACCAAACAAGCTCTTCTATCACAATGTTCAGATGTTGATGCAAATACAATTAAACTTACAGTTCTCAACATCATCACCTTTTTTCAAGGGCATGGGAGATGCAGACTTCTTGCCACTTTTTCTTTTAAAAGCTATTTGGTAACCTGAATTTTAAATAACTGTGAACATATGCTTTTAAAAATGTTATTGCTTTTGATACATTGCATCATATATTTCTAATTTTTTTTTTTGCTTTTCACCAATATCATTTTGCATTTCATCAACAAGAAAGACAGTTCTTGGAAAACAAAATGAGGTACAGTAATATTTTAATTACAGCTCTTTCTATAACTTAGGTGTCAAGAGATACATATACAAATGCAATGCATTGAAGTCATTGCTGGAATAGCAGATTTAATGAAATAATGTCTAAATAATAAATAAAATACCATATTATCAGCCCTTTTAAGTTAAAGATCATGTACTCAATAATTTCTTTGTTCTCATAAAATAATTATGCAACCCTGCTACTTTTTGTATAATTTAATAAGGTGGAAGGACCTTGAAAAATCAGACTTAACATGACTCCCATATGAATTTTATACATGAAAGCAGAGCCTGTTAATATTGAAACTGAAAAAGAGGTTTGTGCATGGTTTATTCCATAATTAGTTTACTTAATTATTCTTATGGAACTGACAACTTTTGAAGTTAGAACTGTCTTGAAACAAAGTTTAATGCTCGCTTTGATATGCCCATATGAAATTTAATCTAGAGCTGTATGTGAGAAGCTTGAATCTTCTCTTAGAATTTACACTGCTAGTCAGATCCTTAGCTTTCCTGGGAATGCCTGGGTACTGATGAGGGATGCGATATGAACACTAGGCAGTGTGGTGGCTCTGTGGCTAAGGATCTGCGCCTGTGGCTGGAAGGTTGCCGGTTTGTATCCCACGGCTGGCAGAGGAATCCTACTCTGCTGGGCCCCTGAGCAAGGTCCTTAACCCCAGCTGCTCCAGGGGTGCTGTATAAAAGGCTGACCCTGCGCTCTGACCCCAAGCTTCTCTCCCTGTCTGTGTGTCTCATGGAGAGCAAGTTGTAGTATGTGAAAAGACAAATTTCTAATGCAAGAAATTGTATATGGCCAATAAAGTGATCTTAATCCATTGCTTCCTGGTGTTCTATTGAAGCTGTCACTGCATCCCCCCACCACCCCAAGCATCCAAAGTAGCACAAATATTGCGAAGCAACAAATAATTCAGAGTTCACTTCAGACAGGAAGTAAGTACATGTAAACGACAGACACAAAGAACTCCCTCAAGGATTAGTATTAGCTCCCACCCCGTTTAATCTGTAATACATGACCTCCCAAAAATCACATCCTGAAAGTTTACATATTCTAATGACATCAATCTGGCAACACAGATCCCCACTTTTGACACCTTGAAATAGGTCCTAAATGCGGATATTCAAACACAACTCAAAAACAATATCCAGTCTATTCCACCTCCACAATGCAAAAGCTACAATAAAGCTCACCATACAAATTCTGGACAAGATTATCACTTGCTCACAGAGACCAGATATGGTCAAGATTATCACAAGCTCACACACCCAGCTGACTGCCACTATGCACACGTCACCACCAAAACACAACTGCCTTCAAGAAAGCCATCCGAAAAGAAACTTTCCCCAGCAAAACGTCAACGCAAACTCCACCTGGGCTCCAGAATGGGAATCACAGGGATTAACAAACAAGCACCTTATCAGAAGCTTCTGGCTTTCACTTTCTAAGAGAAGAGAGGTCCACTCTAAACTACTTGAGGATTGGTCATCGTCCCTGTCTTGCAAACCTCTATAGATGGTGAACCAGTGCAAGCTATCTTTGTTCCTGTGGGACACAGGTAACTATGTGTAACGGTTCTTGGGGTTTCCACCCTTGCCACTCCTGCCCTGCCAGTTCGCCCCTCACTGCCTGGGTGAACCCAGGTCTCCGGCAACATATAACAGGGAACTTGCAACAGGGAACTTAACCTGAGCTAAAGGAGAACTCCCCCAGCATGGGCGGTTGAGATCCCTGTTATACGCAGGGACATATTCGTTACATTATGCAGCACATCCCAGAGGGCTGCCCAGTCCACAGACTCAGTGGAGAGCTACACATCCTCAACACAGCCAGACCAGGAGCTATGGCTGGCTCAGGGAATTTACATTCACTAAATGAATAGTGTAACAGAGAATTCCACAGAACTCTTTTTTTAAAGTACGCAAATGTATGGGTGCAGCCCTTGTGACTAACAGGTCCTTCCCCTTTCTTCTAACTCTGGGGCAGAGGAAAAAGTAACAGGGGATCTTTTGGCAACATGTAAAGACACTGAAAATGTTTTGTGTTGACCCAAGAAATAAAAATGTTCATTTAGATAAATTTCACGTTTTCTACTTGATTCCTGCCTCAAAGGCTGTTGTTTAGAAGTGAAATATTACTGACTTGTAATAACAATTCTCAACACCATTTTAATTGTTCAACTTGCCTATGTATAATAGAAATAATGGGTTTGCACCCTAATGTTGTGCAGCTTGAAATAGCTTTTTTTAACAAAGACTTTTACTGAAAAAGCTTTCTTATGAAACATTTAATGAAATTAATGACTTTTTAGCATCACAAATATTTATGTAGCAATAAACAAAGATTGCAATCTCTGTAAAAGGTGCATTCAAATGTGAAAGAGTATTCTAATTATCATCATTGATGTGTGATGAAAGACTGGATTTCTGTATCATTTTTGTATATTTTCAGATATTACGTCATTATGTAATTAAATGCAGTGATTCACATATTGGAAGTGATAAGTTTCTTTAAAGAAAAAGGGCTGAAAGAATTAAAATAACTGAGTTTAACCTATTTTTTTTACTAATGCAACTCATCACTACATATTGGTTTGCTAAATGTTTGATTATTTATGTTCTACAGAAAATACAGATCATTTTTAAATTCCCCGGGTGCTGAGTTCTCAAATACTCTGCAATTTTAGTTAAACATTTCCCGCCAGAAGTCTTATTTCTGTCACACAAAAAAAGTTGTATGAAATTTGTAAAGCTGCTCTGAAGCAGTCACCATAAAGAGCAATACAGATGAGTTTACAACAAGCAAAGATCTTTAAAATCTCATTTTTCATTGTGCCCCTCTTACATCTGTGTGATACTCACTCTGAGGTCATCTGTGCAACCAGCTGTAGGGAAGTGAAGCCAGAGCTCAGGAAGTTGTCTCTATACTGGTTCATTTTGATAGCACCCAGCCACTCTTCCACAGAGCTGAACGTAGTGAAGTCTGGCACAGAGCGATCAAGAAGGGGCTGAGAAGGCCTAGTGGAAACACAGAAAAACATAAGAAAGACTACAAACGAAAGTCCAGCCCATCTAGCCCATTTGGGGGTTAGTAGCTAAGTGATCCAAAGAACCATCCAGCCATTTCTTGAAAGAAACCAAGGTACTGACATGAACAACTTGGCTGGGTACCTCATTTTATACACCCACAACTCCTAGTCAAGTAAACCTGGTCAAATAATTTCTAAAGACAGAGATTAGATCCATATTCAATATTATTTAAATAACCTACTTATTATATCAAAGGCAAACAAGGTCTGAAAATGTAGAAGATTGTAATAAAGAAGGTTTCTAGAATCATTCATGCTACACTCTCTTTCACAATTATTATGATTATATTAATAATATTAATCTATCATAATTACAATATTGATGACAGTAATTAGAGAAACTGTAAACCTAAGCATTAAAAGCTGTAGACCCCAGCTGCAATACTAAACTATGCTGATCAGGCATCTTGATGTTGCCTAATTAGTTGTCTTGGAGTCCATTTTCAGTGTTTATACTGTATATAATTTTATAGGATTGGCAAATCGCCACAGTGGTACAAGGCTGGCTACACTGTTGGCCCTCCTGCCCTTCATCTAATTCGATTCGTTGTTCTAGGACTAGTTCAGGGCTCTACGTGAATGACTTTCATTATGGAAGAGGAAAGGTTTACTTACACAGTAGAGATAGTGGCCACGGCTTTCAAGCTAGTGGGGTTGCGGATCATCTTGTCCAACGTGTTAACGATCTCTGGGAAACGAGGTCGAGCATTGCGGTCCTTCTGCCAGCAGTCCAGCATGAGCTGATGCAGGGCAGCAGGGCAGTCCATGGGGGGGGGCAGCCGGTAGTCCTGCTCAATGGCATTGATCACCTGCCAAAGGGATTTCCAGCCCAAATAAGAGTGGACAATTCCATAGACAGGTAGGAAAATCAATCTGTCTTGTTAAGCAGGGCTCCCGAAACAACTACAATACTGGGTAGTGATGTTTATGCATGAACCAAATACACCAGCATCATGTTGGTTCAATCCTTTGATCCTGTATTGTTAACAGAAATGGTTCAGCATTATGACAAAAAGTGCTTGCAATGCATCAATACTTGCTTTACATTGTCTCCAACTTTTGCGCAGATGCAAGACTTAGATGCCTTCTATGAACAAAAGAAAGCCAGCACAACAAAATCAAGAGGAGCCTTGACCTATCCAATAACTGAACACTCTATGAGGTAGAGCAGTAGTGGAGAGATATTTAGATTTACCATCTTCATGTTTTGATGATAAAACTCTTGCCCCTTGAAGACAGTTATAGGAGCAGCCCCTATTATGAATAACTTCTTGATACCATTTCTTTTAAAGTTCTGATAAACTCAATAAACTCCAGGCTGTGTTGTGTACTATTTAACAGCGTACACCATATGCTGGGGGTGTGTCAGTTGCAGGCTATTAATTTATTATCTCCGGTGGGCAAATTACTCATTTTCATTTTAGAGTGAATATGGTATTTGAAGATATCAAGTGAATGGTAACAGTGCCATTTAAATTGTTAATATTGCCACTTGTTCACAGCATTAACACAACTATTATGGTTTAAACTAAAGACACACTAACATTGTATGATTAATCATATTTGGACTAGGTGACATCCATTTCCTTAATTCCAATTTTATCTCAACTTAAATTTTGAATACATATTCTACAATGTTTTGTTCTCACTTTTCTATTATGCTATCTCTCCTACTTTATTTAAACAAGTGAGATTTCTATTCCTAAAATCATTTGATTCTCCTGATGTGTCACAGGTTTGTATGGAGACATTGACAAGTGCCAGTATCTAGGCAATGTCATTGTGAATGTCAGTCACAATGTAATAAACTGGTCTGAAGCCTATTAAACACAAGAGTATTCTTACATAGTCTGTTGATTGCTCATAAAGATAAACAGGGACTTTAATGAACTTCACACACTTAGGCCCTGTCTCTGTTAAACTACAATGGCTTTAAGGGATGACTGCACAGGAAAGAATAGTGTGTCTGTCTCTTATATGCCTCCCATTATTTGATAACATTTCCTAAAGTTTAAAACAGGATGAACCTGAAGCCATCAGTTTGGGTAACTGCCAGGCTCAACCATATCATGTATGCAATGGGTGGGAGAGATGTTGTTTAAACCTGGGAGTGTTGAAAACTAAGAATAATCAATTCTCACACAGATATGCAGTGACTGACCTACCTTGATTGACCTTGCCTTAATTATGTCATAAGAAAATAAAGTACACATGTTAGCATAACATTTTCACATATGAACCCATTCAAGGAAAAATGTTTAACAAAAGTGCTTGACTCATTTTTTCTTTTGCTTTTTCTCACCACCATTATGTTTTAAAAAACATAAAAAACCACCACTATATTTTTCTAGTCTGAAATACAATATGGCAGCAGATTCAGAAAAACATTCTATATAACATTAATACTGGATTAATACTCTTTGGTATCACCTTAGAGAGGGTTACAAATTCCATTTATATTTTTATAACCTGTAATACATTAATAATGAGGTAGTAATTGATATCTATTAATGGTTAATAGCATGTTTAATAACAATCCTTAAATCATTTTCATGTACAGCTTATTAATTAATTAATAATCTAGTATAATAATAATCTATTTTCAGGTGGCATGGTCTTTTGGATGGGAGCAATTTTAGTACCCATATAAAATTTCACCAAGACACTGGTGAAGAGTTACTTAGTGTTACTAGTAAGTCTTAAGGGTTACTAGGGTTGTGTGTATGGTCTGATATTAATAATTTGAATTTAGATGTGCCTGACTACACTTGTAAGACTTGTAATGTCTTGTAATGCTTCTATAAGGTTACAATGAGTTATTTATCTGATGTATCTCTTTACTTAATTTCAATAGATCTTTGACCTTCCACAGACAAGTCCTGCTTTTTTACAACTGGAAAAGCTCTGATGGTATGACAGATTGGTACTTATTTATTTTTTAATGTTACTGTAAGCTTATTTGTGATTGAAACCTTAAGAAATCATAGCCAAAATGTAACGTAAGAGTGTCTGGCAACCAAAGATGACAAAACAACAATCACCCTTCTGGGTACCTTTTTTAATTACACCTGCCTTTATTAGAAATTGATTTCAATTAAAGAGTATTCCCAAGACACACAGCTGCCCAGAAAGTAATGGAAATGTCTGGGAACATTTCCATGCACTATTCTCCTCAGCACAATAACGATACCAGCAACAGGTTTTCTTAGCAATGCTTAAGCAGTTTAAGCAAGTCAACAAACAGGGATCATATGATATTTTGTTTCAATTCATTTAGCTTTTCATATTTTCTTTTTCAGTGTCATCTAATTACCAATTGTAAATTGCTAGGTATTAGTTATGTTCAGGTTGTAATAATTATACAATTTATAGTTTGCTGCTGTTCATGTAATGTCAACATAGCAAATAAAGGTATATCCTGCTCTATGGCTGTTGCTTGCCAAGATAGACTCTAGTTCCCACAGAAAAAGCAGTTAGGAAGTAGAAGGATGGATATTGATACATGCTGTGGAAATGATCAAGAGAAAACTAAAGGGAACTTAAAGAATAGAACTAAAATTTGAAACTCCCAAATCCAAGTCTGATCTCAGTGAAAAGAATAGGGTTCCAGTACATGTTTTAGTTTAGGACTTACACAATCTAAGTTTCACACAAACTGAAATATAAAAAAAGACAACAGCAGGCACAGAGAAAAATACGCCAAGCCTTCCTGACAATGATCAGTCCAAGTGATTGAAACATCTGCTTAATTGGCCTGGTTCTGTCTAAGAAAATTTTTGAACAGCAGTGATGCGTACCAGAAAATTACTGAAAGTGGTGCAATTTGATGAAAAAAGCTTCTACATCTAAGCTATGTCAGGAAGTACTCTAAATCACTGGGGCTAAACAGCACAGGAAAAAGGAGAACACAACAGCAACATAAACCTAGATTATGTCAATAGCCCTCCTAATTGACCTAATACATTGCATTGCAGGTCCTCCCTTTTGAAGACAAAATAATGATTAAACATGACATATAGTTATGAAAGGTGTTAAACACTGCTTGCTGCTGCCTTTGCACCTTAATTATGACTTTGGCAGCTATGATTAACCATAAATTGGAATCTGGAATGAGAAAATACATAAACAAATACAACTTACATCCTGGTTGGACATATCCCAGTAGGGTCGCTCACCAAAGGACATCACCTCCCATATCACAATACCGTAACTCCAGACATCACTAGCCGAGGTGAACTTCCTGTAGGCGATGGCCTCTGGGGCTGTCCATCGCACTGGGATTTTCCCACCCTGGGATCACAGCAAACAGAAAGAGCATTATTAGATGGGTTACAAATGAGAAAAGGTCATTTGGCCCATCTATTGGTTTGTTTGCCTTATGTGGAACTTCTACACTAAACAGAATTTCTGGCACAGTTACAAACAATCAGGTTCATGCTGTATGTATTTTAAATGTTGTGTGTATCTGAAGAGACATCTGTACAGTACACCAGGTATGTTTTCGCATGCCTGTCTCCTTGTACTTCAGAAGATTCTTTCTTAAATGGCATAAAAAGCTTAAAGCATTTTCCAAGGATAAGTCATACAAAAAATAACTTATTCAATTTATACATGTCTCATCAACAACCCATTTTAACCACACCTTAGATGTTGAAATTCACATGCTGAATACACAGATATTTCACCACAAAGATATTAATACACTGGACATTAGTCGAGACACTATCCTTGTTAATTTGTCAGGCCAGCAGGAGCCCTAAGTGGAATGAAAGACAAGCTGCTGAAGAGGCTGCCTTACAACAGACTACAATACAATCCTTTATTGATCTACTCAGCTTAAAAATGTAAAACCATTTTGACAAGGCATCAGCACAAATTTACCTTTTATGGATTGATCCCTATCAATTGTCCCTTTACTGTCTTTACCTAAAGGGAAGGTGAAGGTGTTAAGAAACTCTTACATCCACTGCACAGTCTGTAATTGGCAAGAGTATGGATGCCGTTGGTACACCAGCATGGTGATTGAAAGGACATGAATGTGTTTAAGATGTCTGATATAACCTTTCACTCTATATACTCTATATATACTCTTAATAAGACTCTATTTTTTTCTGGTGAAATAATGACTTTCCACATTTCTTTGTTCTAAAACAACATCCTGACTTAATATTTATTAATTGCCTCCACAATTTCTCATACAGTATATCATCATGCCACACTAGTGCAGCAATGACTGCAAGTGCCATTTTTTGGAAAGAACACTGGATGCCAAGCTCAAGCCAATTTAAAACATTTGGATTTTGAGACTTCCTTCTGAACCAAAAAAGCAGTACATTTTGCTTTAATAGCACTGCAAGCCTATTAGCACTGCAAGGATGTTGTAAAGGGACAATAAAGAAAAATAAATTATTTCAGTACCACATAACACAAGTGCTAAAGATAGCCAAATCAGAAGAAATATTCTCTGGAGGTTCTTTAAGTGATATTTTATTGAACATCTTGTTTATGAGCAATCACTTGGTTGCAGATTTGCATTTGCAGAAGGTCTTGCTGTTTTCTGATACTTCACGTCTCTATGTTTTGTACTGTATTCTGCCTCAGCACTTTTTTTACTGATACCTTTTTTCTCATCTCACCCTGGAATACTAAAATGAGACTCATATCTGTACTCATGAAAGGGGAATAGCAGATGGGTGGGACTGTAAACCGAGCCTTTTTGAAACTAATAACATTTTCACGGCTGGCTGGTTGAAGGCTGCTATGCAGATATTCAATAATTAACGCTGTGGGGGGAAGGCAGCCAAATTCCACTTTAATAAAGCAAATTGCTGAAATGCGAAGGCAAACAAAGGAAAGGCAAAAATATAATGAAAAGTGTTCTGTTTTTTAATAACTCAAGAGAAAAGTGAATACCCCAGGGACGTGTGGTGAAGAAATGTTCAGAGAATTAAAATAAGTCTACTGTTAACAAAGTGCTGACAATTTCTGAAGCCTACAACTGTGCTCACTCAAACAGGTGGTGTATCCGAAGACCTTATCGAGCTTGACATACACTTTTTGAACAAAATGCCAAGACACTAAGATGTGGCATCATTTAAACTGAAGAAATCTTGTCACCCAATTAACTGTGTTCTGTATCTAAAAACACAACTTATTTTGATAACAATCATCAAAAACGATTCCAGTCTAAATCTTGAAAAACAAATGTGTACATAACTGAATAAACAGATGCAGCAGGAACATGCATCTTGTGCGTCAGGATGTGTAAAATATTAGACGGTAGCACTGATCACTAGACAGGGGTAAAATGTCCATTTCATATAGATAATCTGCAATCAGCAGGGGCTCATAACAGAAAAAAGAGGACAGTATTTTCAAAAGAAATTTGATTTTACTGTGGCCACAGGTCACGTTGATTACAACACGTAGATCTCTGTGAAGCCACTAGAAAGAGATCCATAAATAATAAGAATGCACCTTCTACAGTATGTTAAATGATTGACGGCCCCAAAGAGGATCTTCTTGGAATTGCTTGCTTGCTGTCAGGTTAAAAGCAATCATCCTAATGTCTGTGTACGACAGGGCCAAGGAAAGGGGAGCTGTGCACACAGCTGTCACAGATCTGGGAGTGTGTGGACAGCAAAGGCGAGTGCTCAAGAAAAAACTCTCACCTTGCAATGGTCATGCTAAAGCTTAATGCACACTTGTCATTACTCCACAAACTGGGATATTATGCCACACAAAGAGTAACAACTAGGAAAAATGAAACAGGCTTATACTGTATATTCCTGATTTTATTGTAGATAATAACACTACTGTATGTGGGACATGTTGGGGTTTAGGTACCGTTGCACATATTTTTAATTGGTCACCTACTGAACAATTTGTTTTGCAAATAATCCCACAGAAACCACCAGAAGGTCCTGATTCTGACTAAATAAAAGAAATATTAATATAATATTATAAAACATGACATTTGTGTAAACTAATATTTGATATTTCTTATCTTTTAATCAATGCATGTGCACATACTGTATATAAAAGAAAAAGCAATTCACATCACATGTTGTACTTGAATGCAATGACATGTCTTGTGAGTGTGAAGAAAGTATTTAGCTGAAATGATATTCGGGATACTGAAAGTACTCCTTAAAGCTTTTCCTAAACATCCTAGTTATGAGTTCACCGTGGTCTCCGAATTACATTTCCTTTCTTATCTGTGAAATCTATGATTCTGTAACTTAGGAATTAAGCAAATAAACTTTAGACATGACTTCCAACTTTATGAAACAGTGTGTTCAAAGATTTACTTACATGAGTCATAGCTGTCCCTCCGTGTTAATATAATGGCCAACAAGTTATTAGACCTAAAATTTGGATCTGAATGGAATTGAATGTACTGTAAGTAAAAAAGGCTGAAGCACTGCAATCATTAAAGCATATCGTGACTTGAAAGTCTGCTCTACTGCTTACTGGCCTTTTGTTATAAAGTGTTCTGTTGGTATATGTCTACTTTGTTTTCAGTTCTACTCACAAGTTACGGTCCTGATGTTACAAATCTGCAACAGATTGCTTGCTGTAAGAGGCACTTAGTAAGTTTGTATTTATATGCTGTATGGTTAGAATGTTTATATGAAAAACAAGGAAATTATGCAAAAACTATGCAGAAATGGCCTTTTATAGACAATTTATCTTTTATGGAGATTTAAGTACATTCAGTTTTTTTTAACAAAACAAGAAATACTTGCTCTAACTCGTGAGTTTCTGATGAGACTAGTAAACACGTTTTTTGTTCAAAGAAATGGGATGACAGCTACACAAGCAGCAATCAAGGGCTTTTTACTGTATTTTGCGTCTCTGCAAAATGGACAAAACAGTTCACTCCTCTGTGGGACCACACTAATCAATGGTACAGTATACAGATTTTAACAGAGCATTTCTTAGCACTGGAGAACTATCCTATTCTGCATTAACAACTTTCCCTGTACTATCATCACAGGTAGATGCTGGTGTAATCCAAGGGGATTTCTTGGAGCTGTTAAAATGAGCTAATTAAAGCTGGCGGCCAATTCCCGCAGGGCATAACATGATAAAATATGGGCACATTTGTCCCAGTACGTTTTCATTTAAATCTTAAAATTATTTAACACTTTACTATGCACAATAAGAAATTAATCACGTTCACGTGTACATATTATGCAAAAGTGATCTAAATTAAACAATTTTACATTATGATGCAGACTGACATAGAATTCAATATATTAAAAAATGACCGGTATAGAGATTAGGAGGAATTAATCAGCATAATAAAGCAACTGAGAAGCAATTTAACCATTTCTTTAGAGCAATATATAACTGAAGACTATGAATTTTAACTAAATAATAAGGACTTTGCACAGAAAATTATTATAGAGCTAAAACGTACTGAAAGAGACTTTTTTAATACTCATCATTTAACCCAGGGTATTTGTAAGAAGCCATTGTAGCTCAGACGGCAGGGGCGTTGAGATCTTGACTGGAAGGTCCCGGGTTGCAGCCCAGGTAATAATAATAATTGCTAAAATTTATATAGCGCTTTTCTGGACACTCCACTCAAAGCACTTTACAGGTAATGGAGACTCCCCTTCACCACCACCAGTGTGCAGTATCCACCTTTAGATGGCAAGCGATGTAGCTTGCTCTTATTCCTTCCAGACGTCTCCCAGGTCCACTCAGCCTGCTTTCCAAACGAGTACCGGGGTGCTTAATCCTTCCAGGGGTAACAGGTTGGCCGGAGTGTGATGCTGACCACCTCCAGTGTCGGATGGTCAATCAAAACAGTGGCCCTTGCCCCCATTCCCCAATGGGCTTTTATGGCGTGAAAAAGGATCTACCTACCTACCAGGATATTTGTAGGTATCAGGATGTGCAAAAAAACATGTGCAAAGCTAAAGTAAAAGAAATCGGAAAGCTAAATAATTAAAAAACAGTGGGAGAGAGACATCCAAGTCATCCAAGAAAATGCATTATACCGTATATGTATTGTATAGAGAGAATAAACCCATACTCACAAAGAAAAACAAAAAGCTAATTTGTTCTTCTCTGACATAATGTGTAAACAAGATTTAGTTTGCAAGTTCATCATTTTCAGCACCTTGAAGCTAATCGTATCAGATCTCAGAAGCTAAGCAAGGCTGGACTTGGTCAGTACAGGAAAGGAAACACAAGTTGTTGCTGTGAAAGGTATGTGTGGTACCAACCATCAGATGAGCCTTAAAACTGTGATCATTATCACATTAATGTTTCCAAAA